GGACTCTACCACTGATACTAGACTGTTAAGTATAGTAAGGGGAGGAATAGGAGAAGGATTTAGAGGATCCTAAAGAAGGATTCCTTCTTTAGGAAGAAGGATTCTTCCTAAAGTCCACAGTCATCTCCACAGTCTTAAGTGTATTCAGTTAATTCACCGTCTTAAGTGTAACAGCAGACTGTTACAGGAGGGAATTGAACCATTACAGAAAAGATTCCTTGGTTCAGGGAGGGACTAAGCATGACCAAGAGACTCAGAGTAACTCTACCTTAAGGATGCTAGGTAGAAATTGACCTGGGGAATTGCTTTGGCAGGCTTTCAGGATTTTGCTACATTATCCTATTTGCAACACAGTTCATTCAAGAAATCCAAGTGATCCTTGTTTCCTAAGTTTGGCTGCCTTGTGGGGTTTGACACTGTAGGAAACATTTGGAAGGAAAGGTGTCAAACTTCTGCATATGCCATATTCATTATTTTCTTATTTTAGCTCTGGGAACATATAAATAGTAAGTATGCATTCAAATTTGCAAGCACATTTCATGATTAAGTATTCTGCTCTGTTGAAGCAAATTGCATAATCTGCTATACATACTTCAAGAAAAGGTTTCTTATTTAATTTCTTTGTGCTGATACAGGAACATGGGTGTGAATGGTGGACGTGGGGCAGCACAGCAGAGTGTTATCCTTTTTGGAACGGTGCAGAAGTGGGTTTTGTAAATATGAAAGACTGTATTTTTCCAGACCTAGGACTTTATTTACGCATGCACATACCCATACATGCAAGCACCCATTTTTTAGATTGAAGTCCTAAACATACTATGGAGAAAGTATCATTTGAACTAAATGGAATTTTACTCCAAATAAACAACAATAGACATCACTGTTATTTTTTTCCATATATTTCTACAATGGTATTGCTGCTGTTGCAGTTCACCATAGGTCAAGCTATAACCCAGTAACAGGTCTTAAACTACCTGTGGTCCACAGTGTTATTGGCACTAAATAAAACAAAATAGCCAGCAAAGGGCATTCCCTTGGTGAGACTAAGTTTTCAGTATCAGCAATAAATCTTCATACAGGAAATTGTTGCAAATATCATTTTGACTGGACTTAAGGTTTCAGAAGGTTCCATGCTGAGCATAGCCCTCTATCTCTCATGCCTGTAGCCTTCATCTTGTATTTAATGGATGATAAACCAGTGTGAAGTATGTTTAATCAGGCACCTCTTACCCTCTCAAACTTCCACAGTCAAAAAAATTCTTTAAGCTATGCTATTCCCCTTGAGGGTTTGGCTTTGTTGCTGATGTGCTGCTATGATAGATAAATGAACTAAAGAAATGGAAGATGGATATAATATTGTGTTTTACCAAAAAAAAAAAAAAAATCCACAAGATTTTTAAAAAACTACACTAGTATGAAAGGAATTGCATTTCCTCTTTTTAAGAAATAACCCAAGTATTTCTGCTTGGCTTGAGTAATACAATTTGACATTAATGCAGTCATGCAGTAGCTTATGTTCAACAAGAGAATAAGAGAAAACTCTGTCACTGTAAATATCTGTGAAGTTATTGATTGGTAAGTGGAAGTGGCTGGGTCTACATCTAGTTAATTTTTATAAGCAATATTGAGAAAACCATGTGCAAATCAAAATATTACCTTTTTTTTTAAGTATTGGTAGTGTGCAAAAAAGGTGGAAATGTTATATTTAAAAAATATAACATTTTTAACATTTAAGTTATATACACCCAACTTCTGGTGACTACAAGGCTACATCCATGTTTTCTTAGCATTGATAAGGAAATAGCTTACCATTGCTATCTCCTGGGATATTGTTTTTTTATTTCCAATCTCTTCTCCAGTTCTAGCATTTTCTTTTGTTCTCCCATCCAAGTAGGCCTGTATATATTCAGAGACGTTTTCAGTTCAAGCCAACATTACTGAACTGTGTAAATGAGACAACACTAAGGTTTTGGTTAAAACTATGGATTTCTGGGGTAGATTTTTTTGCTTCGGTCATAACACACTCTTTCTCTTTTTGCAGGCACTTAAAATAAGGGAAAGTTGCAACTGTCCGTCTTTGCCTGGTCCAGATCCCCGCCTTGTGTTCAGACTGACTATGCAGCAGCTCTTGCAAGCATTTGAAGACAAAAAAGACCCAGATATCCCTCCTCATGGTTCTGCCCCCTCTAAAGTTAAGCTGCCTTTCGCTAAAAAGGAGACAGTGCCTGTAGACATTGTCACTGGAAAATAATACTCAGGGATGAAAGCAAAAATACTTCTGGATAATTTTATCCAAATGTTTATCACATGGTAGAACATCTGCCATAAATATTTATGAAAATGTTTGACTGACAACATGAAGAGACAGATGTGAATCATGGGTATGATTTTTTTCAATCCTAATGTAGATAAGAAACGTAATGTTTGGATGGTTTGGCAGAAGATGGCTTCTTATATACAGGGTTATCATTCATCCCTCTTTCTGAAACTCTTGCTTCCATGGAAGCATGGATTACACTTAGATAATAGTACATCTACCAAGGGCTATAGCAACAGATCCTCAAAGACTATGAAATGATTGTCCAATTTATTCTTGTAACAAATACCCATTATTTATATCACATTATAATCTCCAGCTTTATTTCTGTATGAAGAGTTGAGGACGATTTCCACTGGAAAATCTTGCTTCTGTCTAAATGTCTGCCTATATTTGGCAGCTGTTTCCATGGTGCATTTAAGTTATATTCATTAGTTTGTAAGCTTAACACAACTTTGTTGAGCTTGTGTTGAATTGTAGAAATGCACTGCCTCTGTCAAGACGCAACATGCAATAAACTGTCCAATGAGCTGGTCAGAATATCATCTAATTTCATGACTTCGTGTTGAGTCTCATATTTTCAAAAGACAGGTTGAATCAACAGGTGAAGTCAACCTTAAGTTACATACACCCAACTTCTGGTGACTACAAGGCTACATCCATGTTTTCTTAGCATTGATAAGGAAATAGCTTACCATTGCTATCTCCTGGGATATTGTTTTTTATTTCCAATCTCTTCTCCAGTTCTAGCATTTTCTTTTGTTCTCCCATCCAAGTAGGCCTGTATATATGCATTAACAGTGTTCTTAAACTAAAAATAAAGAATGAAACTTAACTCTTTAATGTGAAACCTGTGCTTGTTTTTTGCTGGAAAAATACTCAATTCTGGGCCAATCTTGAGATAAGCACACAGGGATTTCATCTTCAACTGAAATAAGATATTTTTTGTCTTTGCTTTTGATGTTAGTTACATAAGAAAAAGCTTGCTCACCCATGTAAGAAGTTGAAAACTGCAGCAAAATGTTCAGTGCCTTCCTATGAATGGCAGGATATTCTTCTTTCACAGAAATCCAGAACTTGTCCATGGGTAGATCAATGAATCTCATCTTGAGTGTATGATCAGACTGCAGTTCACAAAGTTCTTCCTCTTTCTTCAAAATGAAGTTCTCAGACTGAGCAGAAGATGCAGAGAAAGGATCCCTCACCCAGTTATACATTTGTGTTGAAAGGGAGGGAAAGTACTGATCAGTTTTGTTCTGTGCTACTTCCAGGTG